ATCATCCATCCATACCGCATTCACACATCTAAACTAAACTAGTAAGATTATAGCAGGGTTTAGCAAAAATGAAGTGAGCATTTTAAAATGGGTTACAACATGGACAAGTGTAAGGAATGGCAAACAGTGAACAGAAGTTACAATGTTGAAGCAGTGTAATTTCAGTGATTTAAGCAGCAATTGGATTGAAAGTGAAACTCAATTGGCCAGTTATTGGGGTACCTGGTTTTATGAATGAATGTAGTTTCATTCATAAAATTTTACTTATGAAGTTATATTAATAAAGTGAAGACAATTTAATCGATCAGTTCTACAGGACTCAGTACAATTGCAGAGAGTTAGGTATAGTTTGGTGGAGCTGTGTATGTGTGTGACGAGAAGCAGCCAGAAACAACACAGAAGCAGACAGAGGAGGTATCAAAAAGCCAAAGACAGCCAAAGAAGCACTTGTAGCATGACCCTGAGAGAAAGCTAGCAGAGAGCTTTTGGGGTAGAGTACTGGCTCAAAAAAGGCTTGGAATATTGAGTAACGAAACTTTCTCCTGTTGGTTGATTCTTACTGCATTCATGGAAATAGGACTTTGTGTGCATTCTTTGTAAATAAATAGGATTGCATCAAAGAAATGCCTGACTCATCATCAATTTCTCCGCCTAACAGAAACAACCTGCAAGACCCTGGACATTGGCTAACTGGTCAGGTCAAAATTATTTCGTTCTTGTAGTGGCCATAATGTGCCAGGTGCTTCCCAAACAGACTAGAAGTCCCAGTCCCTGACCTGAGGAGCTCACAGTCTTTGGATAGAGGTTGAGGGAATAGGTACAACATATAGGTGGTTAATTAATACATTATTCTGTTATCCATTTTGCCGTGGTTGGTCATCTGAGGATAACACATCTCCAGGAGGGACTAGAATGCCGAGAGGGTAGAGGCCTTGTTCAGGAAAGGCATTCCATGTATATGGGGGTATTTGCATGAGAAGCCAACAAATGGTCAGATGAGCGACTAACAGAGGGGCATAGTTACATAGGGCTTTGAAAGTGGCAACAGGAACTTGACCTTATGCAGTGAAGGAGGGGGAACCGATGGAGGGACGAATCTAAATAAATTTGATTTTTAAAATTTTTCCAGTTTCAATACTCTAAATTGTTACTAGTGATACAGGTAAGGATATCGCAAAAAGAAAAGGAGTACTAGTGGCACGTTAGAGACTAACAAATTTATTTGAGCATAAGCTTTCATGAGCTACAGCTCACTTCATCGGATATGTATGTGTGTGTGAGAGAGAGGTCCCTTTAAAATGTTGGTAGCCAGCTAGGTGCTAGAAAGCAAGACCTTACTAGAATAAATTGAATGAGTCCATTCTCCTTAAGCGCTTGATGGAGGTATTTAAAATGTTTCACCAATATAATGAGAATCCCAGCTGACCTATAGAGGTGCCAACCCTCCAGGATTGTCCTGGAGTCTCCAGGAATTAAAGATTAAACTTTAATTTAACATTATGTCATGTGATGAAACCTTCAGGGATATGTCCAACCAAAACTGGCAACCCTAGTGACCTGCAGCTCAAAATCATTTTTAAATCTATCTGGTGAGGCCACAGGAGTTTGTAAATCTTTCTTGTGTGCAAAGTGTAATTTATTGGTACATTGTTTTCTAAAACTGGTTACAATGCTTTGGCCTCATCTGTTTCAATTCTAGAGCTAATAGATCATTGTTAATGGATCAGGCTATCATTGGATGAAGAAATCAAATTCTTTTGCCTCTTTGACATCATTTTATCAGCCGAGTTATCCAAGTTATAAAATTCTGTTCCACGATATAAACAAAACAGGCCAGGTTCTGATCTCATTTCCACAGGTATAAATCTAGAGTATCCACTTCAAAGGAATTACTCCAGATTTCCACAGGTGTGGAATCTGGCCCATTGAACAGTAACCTAAGAGCAAAATCTATATTAATCTTTTTCTTCCTACACTCTTCAGTCTGTTTTCCTGAATTGTAGGAAATTTACATTTGTATATAGTGTTTCCATTGAAGGTATAATGGGGTGGAGGAGAAACCCTGCCCCTGTGGATTGCTAGCCAGTACAGGGATTGTCTCTGTGTGTTTGTACAGCACCTAGCACAAGAGTGCCCAAGTCTCACTCAGGCCTCTACCCACAACTATAATACAAATCATCATCATGGATACTGCTAAACCATCCCTTCCAGAGAAGACTTTTATCTCATAGGAGGGGAGTCAGTGTTTCTTGGTGCTGAAGAGTTCAATCCCCCTGAGCAACCCAGGGATGGAGATTGTTACTGTCACGATACCAGGCTAGCTGCACTTCTGACTGCTCTCTGGTCTCTCTCAATGCAGCCCCTCAGGTTTCAGGCCCTGTGCCTTTACCACTCCTGGCATGGAATCCTATGATGCTGCCACTCTTAGACCAGGTCCTGGTCTACGGTACCTTGTGGACCACCCATGCTTATCTATCAGGCCTCACTGGGTAAGTTACTGCTATTCTTCCCTTTGGGAGCTGTGACCAGTGAACAATACAGTGCCCAGACAGCCCTCTCAGAACCAAGTATTGTTTAATCTTAACAGTGGGAACAAAGCAGAACATAAAAGTAAAAGGATTTTAAACTAATGAATGGTCTACACACAAGCCTGTCTTACCTAAGTCCTTCCACATTGTGAAGGGAGCCTAGGAAGGCCTGGTTTCTTCAGACACCCTGGTGGGTGCCTTTGGCAGTCAGTTTGTTCTCCCAAATAGGTCCTTGACAACTGTGTCTCCTCCCTGCTTGAGAGAGTCCTTTTAAAACTAGTCAGGAATCAGGACCTTTGTTCTCCTCAGTTTCTGGGGCTTGGACCTTGCTACCCCAAACCTGTTTGGTGAGCTCCATAGGGGGTTGGAGATAGGACATGAAAGCAAATGGCTCCTGCATTTTGTTGGCAAATGGGTAGCCATCTTGAGCCATTGTCTGGGTCCCTGCTTGTTTCTCCAACACCTTGCTATTAAAATAACCCATCATATTCATAGAGCAAATATCCCAATAACCACATCAACAAGACACTACTCAGAGATTATTACAGAGCACCCCATTTCTGCCACAGTTACAGAAATTCCATTAGCAAAGATGGGGCCGTCTTATCTGTATGCTAAACCCCTAGCAATACTGTAGCTGCTGTGCAAACGAATACATCAAATAAAGATTAATCATGCACTGTTTTGTAATCTGACATGTATGCTCACATAGATGTATTTCCTTCTCCCAATATTTAAAGTGGCTAAAGCAGGTCCTGTTCCCAGCATGAGTGGGATGCCTGGGGGTTGAGAGGCCCAAAGAGAGGGAGCTGAAGAGCAAGAGAGTTCACCCTATGCTCAGGTTGCATCAGGAACTCCTGCAGCTCCTGTCCCACCAGGTCGTGACACCACTTAATCAGATGTGGCCTGACTGCCTCCCCACTGCGACCCTGTGCACCAGCAGGGGCCAGGTAATGGTTGCAGTGCCCACAGCAGGGAGCCGAGCCCAGCCAGCCTTGGGGGACAGGAGCTACTTTGACAGGACAGGAGGTTTTGGGGATCAAATCAGGACAGTGCTGCGAAACCCAAGACTGTTGGGAGATCTGGTAGGTGGCAGCTGATATTGGCACATTTTACCTACATGCTCTAGCAGCTTTCAAAGAGGTGTGTCCAAACAAAAACCCTGGATCCAAACAACCCTGAGTTCGGGGAAAATCTGGAATGTGATCTGCAGCCACACCTTGTGAGTGGGACCCATCTCTAGGAAACGCATTCCATTTTTTCCACCTTTAAATAGCTAATAAATTTGCACTTAGCTTTCCCATTTTCCCAGTAAAATTCAATTTACATTGATTTCTAGGCAGGCTTTGAAGGAGGAAAATGTACTGATTGGGAGGGAGGGATTTCTAACTTCCCTGCACAGACTTTGTATTGCCTGCAGCAGGGTGATCATGTTTTGTGGCTTTTGGGCCATTGCTTCCCCTTTTCACTCCTCTTGGTTAGCAGCTGGGATCCATAGCCAGGAACTGCTGAAGGCTTCTCTATCCATTACTGCAACTCTAAAGGGCAGCTAGACTCTCAGAGGGCTCGTTATTGTCCACCACAAGACAGCTGCTTTGCCCTTGCACCATCTAGTGGTCTCAGCTCTGCTTCTGGATCTAAGATGCTGGCCCCCTGTAGGCACCAGTTTGGTTTATTTATACCAACCAATGCCCACAGGTAGAGCTCCGCAAATCTGCGGATATCCACTTTATATCCACGAATGCAGATATCTGCAGATCAGATGTAGAGACAAATTTTGTATCTCTGCAGGGCTCTACCTACATATGGAACACTAGATGCTGGCAAAACCAGCAGGGAAGTCCCAGGATGGGAGATAACGTTACACTAGCAGAAGAGCAAATGTAAATGCTCCCTAGGTGTTTTATATTTATTTCGCATGTGAAGTGGCTTCTCCATTGTAAACTGGTATTTCACATCTTTCTTTCTTCTTTCCTTTTTTTAAAACCAGGGTCTTTTGAGATTAACTTCCCACTCCCCAGGGAAAATTCCCTGTGCAGAGAATAACATTGGGCTGGTTTGGATCAATGAAGGATTTTGGAAGGAAAAGCGAAGCCACAGGGCTTATCAATATCACCTTGCAGGAGGGTGGGGTAGGGGCTGAGTTTCTGCCCCCTGTCTTCACCTGGTGCTTTGTTCACTCTCTACAATGGGGAAGGTGCCTTTAAAAATCCTGCCAAACCCAAGGACTGAGTAATATTCAGATCCATAGCGTGATCTCAGGTTTTAAACAGCCCACCGCATCTCTCTCTTTGTCCAATGTTTCCAGAAGAGACGTGATGAGGATTTTAACAAACTCCCTAGGCTCAGTGTGTGTGTGTGTGCTTTATCCTTTAAGGTCAACCAAGCATAAGACTTAAAATGGACATACATCTCTCACTGCCAAAGGTGGAGGAGGGTGGGGGCAGAGAAGCACCAGCCTCCTTCCAGCCACTCCTGAGTAAAGAGAGAGCTGACCTCAGGCTGCAATGGTGTGATTTCCCTTTGCAAGCGCCACTCCTCTTTACAATAGTCCATAGCTCCAGGATTTTTTCCTGACTCAAAGCATTAACATCCCCAAGCCTCCCTGGAGGCAGGTAGCAGGCAGCTGATTTGTCTCTTTATTCCTTGCCTCATTCTTAAGGGGGGGATAAAACCCCTAAGCAATCAACTCTGCTTTTTTATTTTATTACCTTTCATGTAAAAGAACCTTTGTTAGGGGGTTATCCCCACGCATGCAGGGTTGCAGACTGCAGGAGATGGCCAGTGCCCAGGAGATGTAAGGAGCTTGGAAGAATCCTACCCTGGGAGTGGTACTTGCTTTGTGTGTGTGTAGCCTCCCACTCCAGTTGCATTTTTTTTTTTTAAATGCTGTGCAGTGCTTCGGTGAGATGCTTTTTTGGTTAAAAGAAGAAGAGATGTCACACCAGGAGCTAACCCAGCGACTGGCTACAGTCATCACTCATGTGGGTAAGGTATCTCTCTTCTTCCCCTTACCTTTTGCATGGATTTTGGGCTCACTTTTCTTCACCTCCTCCACAGGCTGGGAGGCAAGGCTGCTGTGCCTTAGGCTTGTTTCAGTGTGTATGGTAACACCCATTGTTTCATGTTCTCCGTGTATATAAATCTCCCCACTGTCTTTTCCACTGCAAGCATCCGATGAAGTGAGCTGTAGCTCCGGAAAGCTTATGCTCAAATAAATTGGTTAGTCTCTAAGGTGCCACAAGTCCTCCTTTTCCTTTTGCAGCAGCTTTGTGTGACACCTTGCGAGGGATTTCGGCGCAATTGGCGAATTGCAAAAAGCTTGCCCTCAAAAAATCTTTTGGTTAATGCATTTGTCCACTGTGCAATTCTTTAGGCTTTTCAAAAAATGCAGATGTGCTTATTGTGAATTGAATTGTATTAAATCTACACGGGTAGTAATACCTGCCGATGAAATGCTATAAGGGCAGGGGCTGTGTTAGGGGCTCTCTATAAAATGTATCGGGCTCGTCTTCACAGCGCTATCTTGGGAAACTAAAAATTGCAGCCAGTTAAAATGTAATTCTGTATTTTTACTGTCAGTGCTGTTTGAAGGGTTCTGGAAGACCATAGGGCAGGTGGATGAGAGCTGTTTTAGATCCCAGGCACCTGGTAGTTTTTCTTTTCTTAATCTCTGAAGGATTAACAATCCTGTGATGCACTAACCTGGGCACACTGAGTTAGGAGGTGGTGGTGGTGGTGGTTTAACCTGCTAGCCAGGTGTTGACAATGATGAGCAAACAACTGCAAGAAACTGCCCATTAATTACTTCACCTGCAATGTCTCAAAGCATGAGTTTTACCAGATGAAAATAATCAAGTTAATAAGGCAGTGGAGTATGCTTTTTGCACCTTTATCTTGAGGCATACAATTGAGCAAAAGCTGATTGTGACTGTTTAAAGTAGGTGAAGAGAACATTTTTTTTAACTGACTAGGCAGGGAGGCATATTTCTATAGCTGTCCATTTTTGTAATGGATTATGTATTGTGAATGCAAAGGACACTGAAAGCATATTGAATTTGTATAATATCTGCGCTAAAATACTGTGGGTTCAAAGCGTGGCTTTCAAGTAATGTATAATAACACTTTAGGTTCAGATGTTTGTGTGTTTGTTGATCTTAGCTGTAGAACCTAAATGGTTGGTGGTGGGTATGTGCTGATTATTGCATTAGGCAAATTTACATATAGAATTTTAAAATTAAAGCCCCAGTCCTGTAACATGTTCCACACATGGAACATGGATGGGCCTCTGTGCCTGGCTTCAGTGTGGCTTGATGGGGGTGCTAGGGTTTGGCCTTGGAGAAGCGTTTGCAGGACCAGGAATTAGACCAAGAAGACAGAGAGATGCATGTGAAAGCTACTGTGTAACTGTAAGATTAATTATGTATTGTCTGAATTTGTGTCAATCAGAAAAATAAAATTAAAGACTCTGGCATTCATTTTGAGGCAAATATTATTTTGTAAAGCTGGGATTTCAAAGGTGCTTAAGGGATTTAAGCACTCATCGATTTCCTCCCCTCCCCCTGTCTCTTTAGGCTCACTTGAAACCCCCCATCTGCTATATTATCACTTAATTCTTCCCCCCCCTCGCAAAAGTAGAACCTTTGATATACCTGAAGATGAATGCCAAGATTTGCTAATATGTAAATTAGAGGTATGTCAGCCTCCATTTGGGAACTTCAGAAATGTAGGAACCTGCTTTGACCATTAGTGATCAGACTAATGCTTTGCGCTTTTCATCCAAAGCCTTCTCAAACATTAATTAATCTTCACATGTCTCCTGACAGCTGGGGGTGTATTACATCTGTATTACCCAGGTGAGAGAAATTCAGTGGTTTTCCCAAGATTATGCAGCAAGTCAGTGCTAGTGGGAGAATAAAACTCAGATTTCTAAACCTTGCTCTGAGTACTAGAACTAAATTCTCTGCTTCTGAATAGTTCAGGGCATGGAAATCTGATCTGAATGTTTCCATAGAGTGTGCAAGTATATATAAAATAAGGGAACCAAAATATATTTGTACAAAAATGGAAGTGATTAAAAAACAAAATCCATCTTTTTTAAAAAACATTTTTCATAACCCTCTGCTGATGCACTGTTTTTTCTGAATCCCACATGCTAACACATGTGAGTCATGTTAGCAGAATCAGCAGCTGATTATTAAATCAAAAAGTCCTTCTATGGCAGTGGTTGCAGGCAATCTCAGTGCACTGAGAACCTCTCAAAGCTCCGATAACTTCCCATCCCATGCAAGAGCAGGACAGCTACCATTATGAATACACTTAATAGTATTTGCTACTTCAGTAGCACCTTTTATCCCAAAGAGACCCAAAGCACTATTCACGCTTGTTGACACTCAACCCCAGTACCATGCAGCTACTTCTGGGGTGGAAGTACAGCACTCAACCAGCTCAATAGTGAGAAGTGGCGGAAGAGGAAATTTGTATATGAGCTAGCTCCTTCTACTTACAAAAAGTACCATGGGATCTTTAGTGTCCATGCAAAGTAGGCAAGACCTCCATTTTTAAATGTCTCACACAGGAGTGTCACATGCATATGAAACTAGGAACATAGAGAACAGGACTGGAAGGGATTTCCTATGTCATCGAGTCCTGTCCCTGCTATCACAGGAAATCCCATCCCATAATCCCATTCATGAATTTATCAAGCTCCATCTTAAAACTAGTTAGGTTTTTTACCCCCGTAACTCCTATTGGAAGGCTGTTTCAGAACCATACTCTTCTCTGATAGTTCAGCTGATTTCCATGTGGGAGGAGGCTTCTATCTGCCTTGAAAGGATGATTTAAGTCTGTGAGGATCTACGTGTTGGTTCCAGGGACTCTGTGTTTCCAAACACACGCCGTGATCCTTCTGTGAGCTCCACGCAGATGGCACCTGCACAGAGTCAATACATTAAAGCTCATTGCGGGATCAGTGTCCAGATATGTAGGGCACAGTGACTAGTTTACCTCTGCACATACCCTTTTGGTGACCTGCACCTTGTAGTACAGCTTTTTCTCCGTGCTGATCAACAGATGCCTGATTCCGATCTTCTTTTTTTTTTTTTTTGGCACCAGTGTGCTTTCTCTGATTTCAGTGGAGTTACTCTTGCTTTACACTGGTGTGGATGAGAACAAAAAGGGACCTAAGGTTCCTAGAACTGGTGCACTTTGTATATTTTCTCCTTCGGATCCACAGAGCATGGGAAATGTTCCCCAGAGCTCACTGCAGAAATTGTTTCAAGGACAGATATAGATTAAAAAAAAATAATTTACACACTTTCCTTGAGTGACACTTCTCACCTTGCAAGATTGTGTTCCTTGGGTAGATGGGTGAGAAGCTGTTCGTTATGATGGAGAGAAGAACCCACGCTTGTGGTCTGGGGCTGACAGTGGCTGTGTGTTTGTGTGGGAATTCTTTCACTCTTCTGGCTTGCAAAACCCACAGGAATAAACCTCCATGCCCCCACAATCCCACCCACGCCTGGCAGCTTGTTCCCAGCTCTGCTGTGAGTGGGAAGAGCTCTCTGGGCATTGGTATGCAGATGGGCACACCCACCAAGTGTCCCACTTTGTCACAAGATTTTATTCTTTAAAATGACTTCCGCAATGAGGCGGGGCCACCAGGACAGATGTCAGCAGCTTAAGAAGGAAACAACTGAACTCGTACCCTACGTTTGCATTAAACCCCTCAGTACCACTGAGGCTTGGTTTACAGAGATGCTAAGCGTCCACAGCACCCTTTGATTTCAGGTGAGGTTGACTCTGAAAATGAGGACCAGGTCAAAATGAGCTGCTTTGTTAGCGTCTCTTGTCTTGGAAGCACTGAGCTAAAACCTTAATATGTGTACAGCCTGCTACGTAAACTATACATGAAATAATAATAATAATTAATAATAAAAGGACCTGCACTTATATCACAGCTTCCATCCGCAGTCTCAGAATGGTTTACAAATATTAATTGTAACCTCTCATGGCTCAGTGAAGTAAATGTTACCCATTTTACAGATGGGGAACTGAGGCTCAGAGTGGCGACATGACTTATCCAAGGTTATCCTGAGAGTCAAGTGGCAGAGCCAGGAACAGAACTGAGATCCCCTGACTCCCAGGCCTATGAATTCACCACAGGACGTCAATTCCTGTCACCTGGGTTCCATCCCTGCCATAGGGCAGTTGGGTGAAATGTGTCTGTAGCACAAGGCCATGCAATGCTGCAGTGTAGGACAGGAAGTAAAGGAAGATACTGCATCCATTTGAATGTGCAGGAGGAAATTAGGTCAGCGGAATATAATAATCCAAGATGGAACTTGATCAAGATTGATTTCGTTTTTCACGTGCTGGTGTCACAATATCTGTCTTGTGCTGTGAAACTACCAGTTATCTTAATATATATCACAGCTTTGCACAGAGCATAGTAAACATTGCTAATCTGTGTCCTGTGTACAGCACTCTTCATGCTAACTTTTTAAGCAATCTTCCTTAAATGTATTGTATCAGATTGCGCCCTTTGTTACTTCTGTGCAAATGCAACCCCACTGATGTCAAGTCAAAGAAAACCACACTGTCCATGGATCATTCCTTTGGTCTCAGACTACCTCAGAGCATTCATGCAATTTAGGATTTCATTTCAAGTACGTTTATTTGGATCTGGTGAGCAACTAGTGATGACTGACCTTTTTGCATCAGCCAGAAAGCACTGGTTTTCCTCACCTTGCTCTCTGATGCAGACTGAGGGCGTGTCCTTTGTTCCATTGCCCATAAAGAGGGATTTAGAAATCTGCAAAGAAGTGTTTGCTAAATCTGCAGGGGTTTTCCCTGCAAAATCTGCAAAAATGTGGTGGAGTTTTTTCTTCCAAGATCAGTCACTCTTTGTTTTCTCCTATTCTGCTTCGTGGGCCTGTTTAATTGCACAATCAGATTAACTCGTTGTAAGACAGAAGGGGAGCTATTAA